GAGAGAGAGAGAGAGGGGGGAGGACAGACAGAAGAGAAAGAGCAATGAGAGATGATAGCAAAGTCCTAGCGTTAATCACGAGCAACCGAGAGATGCGCGACGCGAGATTTCATAAAAATGTCCGGATTGTCGTATTTATTTTTTCGCGTCGCTCTTTACGGCCGATTGATCGCATTCGAGTATCAACGCGCGCGGAATTTTCCGACGAAATTCTGCACGATGTGCATTTTTTACCGTCACAAATTACTACGGCGAGTGAGATTTTTTTTCATTACACGTTACGCGATGCATACCCCCCAATCGGAGCATACTTCAGCTCTTACCCAGAGAATTTGTGCGACGGTTTATAATTAGGCACGTTTCCTTCGATATCCGTACATTCCCTTAGGAAATATTTCGTATCAAAATGGAGGATCTTCTTGTGAAAGAGCAATTAAAGAATTAATAAAATCTTACTGTTTGCTTAAAATAAAATGAGGAGCGTTCTCTTATGAAAGTTACGTATTTTGTACAGGGATGTTCTTGCAGTATCACGTATAATATGAAATACCGGCGGTATAAAATGTGGATATGCCAGCCGAAGGGTATATTATATAACGGGCCGTGAGATACATCGATATATAACTCCAAAGTTTCGATATAATTGCGTCGTTTCTTCCAGTCACCATTTCGTATTCCCAACACTAATACATTCTTCGTGCCAGGCAACCGCTGCCTGTCTATCAACGCGCATAAAACTTTGTGCACGCTTGTGCATTTGCATCGAGCCAGTTGCGTTACTGCCAACAGGAGTTGTTTGTCAGAATTTCCCGCGAGAATTTCACCGCCGCATGCGTCATGAGTTATCGTTCCGCTTCATTCCGCTATACTAGTCCACGATTGTATTTTCCTTGGTCGCGGTAGTGTTGCTGTGGCAATTTTTTTTATTTCGGTGCTCAGCCCTTAAGCGACTTTCGCAAAAATAACGCGTTTCAACCATCCAAAGGCGGGAAAGGACCTGGTATCGACGTGTGCACGTCGGCCTTTCTTATATTCCACGATACTTTTCTCTTTGATGTGACGCGAGAGAGCGGGGCAAACGTTGGTCGAATTCAAACATCCGAGTAACACGATCTCGATCGGGAGACAGCTTTGATGATCATTTCGAAACGCGGCAGTGATGCCGTTTTCATCGTTTCGGAATTTTGTTCCGTTGTGAAATCCAGCCACATGTCTCTCGATATAAAGGAAAACTTTCGTTCTATGATGACTGTTAAGCGATATGGCGGTCATAGCGACATAGCCGTTTAATTAAGTTTAAAGATTATGCGGATCATGAAGAAGATTATGTTCAAAGAATACTATATCTAATCGAGGAAAATTAATCGTCTTTCAGATGAAAGTAATGCGAATAAGTTTGTTGAATATCCGAGTACGATAGTCGATCCTTTTCATCGTCATTGTCGGTCTTTTTTTGTTATGCTGAATTTTCCTTAATGAATCTGCGAAAAATCCAAGCGATTGTACACGTTAACAAAATAAGAATAGAATCGTTAAAGAGAGCCACGTATAAGTATACGTTTCTCAATTCATTTATGGTAATAGCGAAAGGAAGTAATTCGACTACTTTGGCAATATATATGAGGCTTTTACGAGATCATTATCGAACAATTAAGTTGAAATTTTGCATTTCGTTCGCGTTGGAAGAGTTTCAGTACGTATCGGTATATATAAGATAAGTTAAAATTGCTTTCTTTAATCATTATTACGACCGACGAAATTTAGATTGATTAACGATATTTACTGTATTGATTTACCGTGATAATTATCTATCATGCTCTTAATTTACATAATATATTTATTTGTAGCGTGTGTGTTGCTATATTACCAAATATTTTTAAATTTAAAATGTTGCAGCAATTTTTGACGTTTTCTGAAATTTTTCTTGAAAAAACCAATAACTTTAACGAAGAGCTTTAACATATCTATTATTAAATTTAGAATCAAATGATGTAGATTATATAATACGACATAAATTATAGCTAAAATAAATAAATAAGACTGCGAAGTAAATTCTCTCTCTCTCTCT